GGGGGGGGCCCGAGCCCGGGCCAGGCCCTTTATAGCCCCGGCCCCCGTGTCGTCAGCAGCCGCGATTGGCTGCGGAGCCAACAAAAGAGGCAGCGCTGTCATCCGAGGCGAGAGAGGGAGCCGGAGAGAGCCGAGGAAAAGAGAGAGAGAGGGAGGGAGAGAGAGAGAGAGAGAGAGAGAGGGAGCGAGGGCCCAGAGAGAGATGAAGAGACAGAGATACTGGGGTGAGGGAGAGGAATGGAGAGAAAGAGAAAGTCAGAGTCAGAGAGACCAAGGAGAGACAGAGAGATAAAGACGTAGGAGACAGATCAAGAGACAGAGAGGAAGAGCAGCAGCAAGAGGAAAGAGAGACAAAGGGGGGAGAAGACAGAGGGGAGAAGACAGAGAGAGGAGAGACTTAGCTAGAGAGACAGAGACAGAGAAGGAAAGAGACTGGTAGAACTAGTGGGACAGTTAGAGGGGGGAGAATCAGGGACAAAGACAGGGGAGAGAGACCAGAGAGAGGAGAGAAGTATGGCCAGACCGAGGGAAGAGATGGAGGTCTATGGAGCCAGACGGCAAGAGGTCAGGGATACAGAGAGATGGGAACCGGGGCAGAGGAACTGATGGGACAGAGACCAGAGCCCCGGGAAAGAACGAGAGGGAGAGAAATCTAGAAAGGGAGGCTTGGGAGATGCCAAGGGAGCCCCTGAGGAGGCAGGCACAGAAGATCAGAGGAAGGCAGAGATGAGAAGACAGAGACTCGGCAAGGGAAGGAGAGACAGCACAGTGACAGGGTCAGCCTTGGTGGGAGTATGGAGAGCCCAAGGGAGAGGAGGTAGAGAATTTGAACCCAGAGGAACCCCAGCTACCAGAGGTAGCCCAAATAAAATGTTTCCAGAAGCCATGGAGGGAAGCATCAGGCTAGGCTCCCTAGGGGCTCAGGAACAGTGAAATGGAGGGAAGGGACATGGGGGTAGCAAGAGAGACTAGGAGAGAAAGAGAACAGGGACAATCTGAGCAGTTGGGGAGGTGGTGGGAAGCCCTGATACAAGAGGGAGTCTTAGAGCTGGGAAGAGTGTGAGCCTGAAATTGAGGCCTGAAAGGGATAAAGGAGTCAGCAGGCTGGAAAAAGGCAGGAACTATGGACCACTGGGGACCACTGGGACTGGGGGAGGAGTAGAGGAAGCATGCGGGAGACCACTTGCTTGCAGAGGAATCTGGGACTCTGAATTCCTAGCTACACTGTTGCATCTGCAGGGTCTTAGAAGTCTGAGAAGGCTGTTGTGATTGCAGAGAATGAGAGAGAAGTCTGCCCTCAGCCGCCTTGAGTTGGAGACAGCAAGTTGCAAAGGGAGAAACCCAGATGTGGGACCAGCCCTAGCTTGCAGGTGTGACTCTGGGTGCAGCTAGAGGGCAGAGTGAAAGAGAGCTAAAATGCTCCTGAGGTGCTTGACTTCGGGTTCTGGATTCTTTTTCCCAGTCCTCAGTTTGCCCATGCTTATTTCTTGAGTCCAGAGCCCTGGAGATCAATAGACAACCAGTAGATTGAAAATGTTTGAAGGGATTGGGTCTTGCTCACTTCCTGGTACACACAGTGTTTTATTGAGTAACGAGATGATCATTATTGGGCTTCTCAGGCAGAAAAAAGAGACACTGCTTTCCTCTGTGGATTAGAGCCCAAGAGAATGTCTTGAAATGGAACACTAGGCATAAGGACAAAGTTGGGTTGGGAGCTGGAGTGAAATGAGGGAAGAAACTGGAGGTCCAGGTGTGAGGCAGGAAGGTTGGGTAGGGATCCGGAAAACCAAGCTGGGGAGCTTTGAAGAGATGAACCATTTCCGTGGAGAACAGGAACTAAGACTGCAACAGAATGGAGTCAATTAGACAGTTTGTTCTCTCTCTTGCTTTGGACCAAGACACGGGCATCTCAACATTTCATCAAGTTTCTTCATCTATAAAACGTGGATCACACCATCTCTCCGCAACAAGCTGCGAGGATTACATAGTAATCAATCAATCAATAATGGCCTTGATGGGCTCCTTCTTCTTTGTGACTCTTTCCTTTCTGATCTCCTAGAGCAATGATTGCCTTTACCACATATCCTGGCCTAGCCTGTTCTCCAAAATGTTTCTCTGATGTAATTTCCTCAGCGAAACTCCTTGAGAGCAGAGGTGGTATCACCTCCTTCTCTTTCCTGGGAGGAAGCTGCCTAGCCTTCTTCCTCACTAAGCATGTTTCTAATGGTAGGTCTACGAGAGATGCAAAGATAAATGACTCAGCCCCTTTCCTCAGGAATCATCTAGAGTGGACATGACACTAGGTAAACAGTAGCAGCCAAAACTCCAAGACAGATGCCTTCCTGATATTTCTATCTGGATGTCCCAAGGTACCTCAAATATCATGAGTTAAATATGATAAATAGATAACTCCTTCTCTCCCCTGAAAATGTGCCCCCAGTGTGCCATTGTTGAGGCACATTTTCATTTTATTGAATAAGAATCATCAGGCCAGAAACCTGGAGCTAGACTTCACCTCTTTTCTCTTGATCATCTCTGAATCTTTGCATAAATTGTTTCCTCTTCTTGGAACAACTACCCTTTCTACTTCCCCTGCCCCCACTCCCCAGTCTCTTGGCCAAATTTATTCTGTCTTCAGGTTGCAGTGTAGAGATTTTAGACATGTCTTCCAAAAGTCCAGTCCTGACTCCAAAGCCTAGAGTAGATGCTCTTCCTAGCTACCTCTGCACCATTCTGTGTGGTATGGAGGTTACTCTTACATAGCTTCTAGACTAGAACCAGTCTGCCTGGGTTCAAGGTCCAGCCCTCCTGCTTACCTGGCTGTGTAAACTTGGCTCTTTATGCTTATCCGTAAGATGGGGATAACAATATTGTACCTATTTCATAAGGTTATGAGGATTAACTCCCTGACACAGAATTCTTTTTTCCCCCTGACACACAATTCTAAATGAGTTAATTAGTCATTCCTATTACCCCAATTTATCACCCTTACACTGTGACTGGGATCCAAGGCAACAGGAAATTTTTCCACGGAAGTGTTCCTTAGCTCCTTTGAAAGAAGAATGAATGGACCCCGCTAACTGGATCTGGTCAGAGCCGGGTTGGGGGGAGAGAAAACTGGGTATTTATGGCCATGAGGAGTTATGAGTGTCTGCCAAATGCCAGAGAGCAGGAGTCAGGAACAACTTGTGAGACAGAAAAGATTTTCACCTCCTGGCTTCCCCACCAGTTCCAGGACTGGGCTTAATCCAATGAGTGGGCAAGACTGCCATCTGGTGGTAGAATCTGGAATTTTAGCTCCTTGGAGGTGGGACTAGAACTGCTGTTTTGCTTTGCATACTTTGCATATTTTCACTTTAGATTTCTAACCCAAGAGTTCTATATCATAATGCGTTAAGCCTTGTTTCTTTCTCCAGACCTTCCCGCATCTTGCCTCGTTCCTTAGTTCTCTCAGGCTCGATTACTGTTGGGTTCCCCTGAGCTGCAGGAACTAACCCCTGGGAGGTCTCTTTCAGAAGCTTCATACTTCCAGCTGCCCTAGACCCAGTCCCCAGGAGGGGGCCCTGGAGGCTTCACAGAAAAGGAACTGGGAGAGAGTATCTGGACATTTAGATCTTTTCTCATCCCCAAACAGGCTAACCAGGGTTTGGGGCCCCGCCCACTGTCCTGGTCTCCCTAGCAACTGTCTGCCTGCCAGGGGTGCCCCTCTCAGGCGTTACCCAGGCAACCTTCAAGGCCCGCCTCCTTCAAGGTCCTGACTGGTTCACGGCAAATGTGGGTCGGGGCCTAAGGGAAGGCATTGAGGTTTGAAGGCTGAGAGCTGCCCGGAGAGAAGCAAGAGGTGTCCCAGGGGGAGGGGTAAGGTTTCAGGAGCTACTGGAGGAAAGAGGCGCTTGTGTAGCCTCGGGTGGAGGGTCTGTTCCATGCTCAGGAAGAGGAACTGGAGGTCTTGGGAGCCGGTCACCAGGGTTCAAGCCAGAGACACCTGGGCCACTCTCGGAGCAGGAGACACCAGAACTGGGGAAGCTCTATAAAGAGGGAGGACTCCTGCCATCGTGCACCCCTTCCCCGCAGACAACCCCGCATACTTAAACTGCCTTATCCCTCACAGCTGGGTCAGTGGGCAGCAACCCAGGATCCCTAATGCCATCTCTTGTCACTTTTTTCTCCTAAAGTCCCTATTTTTAGGATCAGTGACTCATTCCCTGGCACCGCAGGTCTTTCCAAGGAGGGGAGGGACTGGGGTCATTGAGAAGCTGCTGAGGGGAAGGGGCTGAGGGGCTTCCCTACTAGGCTTGCTTCCCCCTTCTCCTGCCCTCCCAGGGTGAGCCTCTGGGAATGTGGTTTGGGGAGACTATTCTGGGCTGGAATGTTAGTGGAATGGACTCCTCCCAGGTCTCTGCCCACAAAGCCTGAAGCCCCCAGAGAGGACCTCATTGTGTAATTACCATCCTCTTCCACACCACATTCTAAACCCTATAATTACCCTGCTGGATCTCCTAGCAGGCCTGTTAACCTCTTTAACCCCAGGCCCTTGAAGAGAAGTTGGAGGTCGGGAGGAGGGATCCAGAGAGTTTGTATTTTGTGGGGAGCAGGTGGAGGTGGAGTACAGCTGGGGAACTCTGAGAGTCATTTGGAAGTCACATCTTTCTTTGTCCACTGGCCTTCTTCCTAAAGATACCCTACCCTGCCCCCTTCAGCTCCTCTTAGGGCAGGCCCAGCCCTTCAGACTCACAGGTGCACCCTCTTTCCCACCTTCACTCAGTCTCCCCAGGCTTCTCCATCTTTTCCCATCTTTCTCAACAATTGCTCCCTCTCCATGCCCAGGCCTGACATGGGTCCTGCTGGGGGCCACGGCCAAGGCTGCCCCCGTGCCCCGTTTGGCCAGCACGAGGCACCTGCTGATCCAAGGAAAGGAGGGGTCTGAGCATAAAGCCGGTTCTCCTTCTCCAGGGACTTCAGAATGCTGGTGGGTGTGCTGACCCAGGAGGTGGGCTGCCAGGTGAGGAGAGCTGGAATGTTCAGAGGGAATCCAATGTCTAGGAGAAAGCACGGGGCAGTGAAGGTCAAGGTTGTTGCCAAATGAGGTGTGTGTGTGCGCGCAGCAATGGCGAGGGTGTGAGGATGGCCAGAAGGTCTGGGTGGGGTCTGGGAATGGGAACCAGAGATTAGAGATGTGAGGGCAGGACAGAGTGCTCTGGGCTCTGCCTGGTGGTGCCAGAGACCCCCACCCATTCAACCCTGCATCCTCTCCTCACTTCTAGTGCCCTGGACTGCAAGGCCGCATCCACGGGAAGGAGTCTACTGTGTGAGCAGGTTGAGTGAATGCTCCCCGAGGCCTTCAGTGCTCTCTGCTCCCCTGAGCCTGTGGTAGGTGGCTCCCAGCACCCAGAGCTTCTCTTTGGCACACCCCTACCCACACTATTTGTTGTCTGTGCCTACAGGCTGTAACTAGAGCTGTGTCTCACTCATCTCTGTATAGTCCCTGTGCCTGGCTGGTTTAGGCTTTCAGTAACTGGATGGATAGATGGATGGATGAAGGAATGCCCCAAGGAACAGAAACCTGAAGTAACTACCCCAGCATTGCCTCTTCTCGTTGCTCCCATGTTCATGTCTGCTGCATCCCAGGGGACTGGTTAGTTGTGTGGGTCTGTGATTGTCAGGTGGGAGACCACTGCCCTCCTGAGCTGGCCCTGGACCAGAACCACACAGCAGCTGACCTCCTGGCCCAGGCTGTGCATGAACAGCCTGGGGCACCTGCCCTGCTCACTCACCAGCTGAGCATCTGGATTGACCCCACTGGCAACAGTGAGGAGGCTGGGACAGGAGCCAGGCAAGGTTGGGGAGAAGGAGGGGCCAGAAGTCCGGCCCAAGGAGCAGGGAAAGGAACAGGCAAGAACTGGGGCAGAGCGCTGCGGATGGAGCCTGGGCAGTGGAGGGGGTTCTGGGGAAGGCCCTGGGGCTTGAAACGGGGCTCTGGGCTGAGACCAAGGTGGGAAGGAGGGATGCAAGGAGGCTGAATTGTCCCTCCCAACACTTTCCTTGGCCACGTCAGGTGGTGTGGAGTCCAGATATTTCTCAAAGCAAAATCACTTTCATTCTCATGTTACCCCAAAACAGGGTAGGATAAAGGCTTAAGGTAACAAAATCGATCCCCTTAATGTCTTATGCAATCCTCACAACTGCCCTGTAAGGTGTGGAAGGGAGTAGTTTTCCTCTTACTTGAGGGGGGAGGAAGCTGAGGCTCAGGAAGTGTGAACGTTTGGCCAAAGTCCCCCCATTCATGCCATGCAGAGCCTGTGTGGCACGAGTGCCTCTGAACTTAGGGCACCTGCTGGAGGTGGGCGGGGTGCACCCGGAGTCTGTGTGTCTGGTATCTGCGGGATCTGCAGGCTGCCCCTGAGCCTCGCTTTCCTTGAAGAAAGGATGTAAGGTGACTTTGGCAGTGATGGTGTTCTCCTGGGTACTAGGGTGCTGTGGCCTTGTCTTGCCAGGCATCTGGGGGAGTCAGAGAGGGCCACCATGGTGACTCCACCAACCAGGGCATCTCTGACCTTTGCCTTGTTTTGATCTAACCCTGTAGTCTGGGAGCTGCGAGCACCCACGCCTCCCTTATAACCAAAGCTGGGGCCTTTGGATTTAGGTCTCAGTTCCCTAATTCAGACACAACCTCCTGACCTTAAGTTCTAGCCACCACCCTTTCTGTCCTCTCTAGCAAAGGGATGGCCCTGATGCTGCACCCTTTGGTTCCTCTGTCTCCCTCCCCTCTCCTCCTCTTCCTCCTCCCCACCGTTTCCCTGGCATCTCTTTTCCCCTCTGTATTGTTTCCCTCACCACCCCCCCCCCACCGCCGTCCTTCCATGCCTCCCCTTCCCCTATTCTCTCCTGTATCTCCCAGCTGTCCTCAACTCTTCTCTTCCCTTCTCTCTCCTCCAGTCCTTCCCAGTCTCCTCACTCCTTTCTCATGCTCCCCACCCCCACTGGCCTCTGCAGGTGGCAGCTCCCAGGTCATGGGGCCTCTCCTACCAGGGCACCCACAGTTGCATAGCTGGATGACATATCTGGATGTCAGACCTTTGGAGTAGGTGCTGGGAGCTCTGAAGGACATGATGTGAGGGGCCAGGTCCCAGTCAGCTGCTTCCCCACTCAGAGGGGCACAGGGCTATATGCCAACTTTCCAGACTAGGGGGTAGGCCATTTGTGTGTATGTGTGTGCATGTGCGTGTGCGTGTGTGTTAAAATACAGATGACATAAATTCTACCAGTTGAACCATTTTTAAGAGAACAGGTCAGGAGCACCTGAGTGGTTCAGTTGGTTAAGCAACTGACGCTCTCTGCTCAGGTCATGATCTCATGGTTCGTGGGTTTGAGCTCTGCGTCGGGCTCTGTGCTGGGATTCTGTCTCCCTCTCTCTGCCCCTCCCTCTCTCAAAATAAATAAATAAACTTAAAAAAAAAAAAGAGTACAGTTCTAAGTACATTCACCGTGGTATGCAACCATCATGGCCATCTATCTCCAGAACTTATTCATCTTCCCAAACTGAAACACATTGACCCCTAACTCCCCATTCCTCCCTCCTTCCAGCCCCTGGCAACAAACTTTCTACTATCTGTCTCCATGAACTTGACTCGGTGTGGGCTTTTCTTGTCCTCCCGCTACCAGCACCACACTGGCTGTTTTCCAGGGGTCTCTCTGGCCCTAGTCTGGAATTCCTCTCCTGACATTCACCTCAGCTCTGCCCCTGCCCATCTGGACGTCTCCACCTCCCTCTCCTCCCTTCTCAGGCCCAGAAGGTGCTCCAGATCCTGCCCTGACACTGCTCTGGAGAAGACCACCCCATCTAACGGTTTTCTCGTTTCTCACCCAAGTTGACCTTTCTATACTATTTGATGCTTCTGGCCGCTGTCCCTCCTCTTGCTGTGAAGTTCTCTTTTCTCCCAACTCCCAAAAGAAAAGTGGAAGAACACAGGCCTTGGAACCCTGAGAGATCTGGGTTCAGATTCTAACACTGGTGATTATTGGTTTGGACTCTGGGCATGTCATTCCCTATCATAGAATCTCAGTATCCTATCTCTAAAACAGGACAAATCATATAGATCTCAAAGGGTTGTTCTGAGGGTCAAATGAGCTAATGTGTATAATGCCAGTACCGAGCCTGGTAGAGCGTGGGGGTCCTGCTCCACAGCTTTCTTTTCCTTTTGGCTCCTTTACTGGATACTGACCCCTCCCACATGTGCCTGAAACATAAGGGTTCCCTGAGGGTCTGTCTTTGTTTTCTTCTCTTGCTCTGGTCCTCATCCATCTATGAATTTAAATATCATTTTTTATCTCTAGTCTGACTACTCCTCTCTTCTGAGTTTCACATCTCCAATTTCTGGTGGATATCTCCACCTGGATGCCCCTCGTGGGTGCCTCCTGTCTTGGGTGACCACCACCTCCTCCCCTGGTGCCCAGGTCTGGAAGCTCTGAGTTGTTTCGGATTTTTCCCACTTACTCTCCTCTTCCACAGGTAGGCAGTCACCCAGTCCTTTATTTGCCCTCTGAAATGCCACTCAGACTTCCCTCTTTTCCAGGGTTCCAGGCTCCTTTTTCTTTTTCTTTTTTTAAGTAGGCTTCACCCCCACCACGGAGCCCAGTGTGGGATTTGAACTCACAACCCTGAGATCAAGATCTGAGCTGAGATCAAGAGTCGGATGCTTAGCCGACTGAGCCACACAGGCACCCTGTGGTTCCAGCCTTCATTAACTCTCCCTTGGATGGTGGCAGTGATGTCTCAAAGATCTTCTGGGCTACCTGCCATTCATTCCTCATTATTTCAATGTAGGACCAGCCCCAAGATGTTCAACCTCTCGAAAACTCCCCACCGCCTTTAGAACATTCCCCACTGCCTTTAGAACATTGGCGTGCCTGGGTGGCTCAGTCCATAGAGGATGTGACTCTTGATCTTGGGGTTATGAGTCTGAGCCCCACATTGGGCATAAGGTTTACTTAAAAGAAAAAAAAAATACCCAATATAGCCTTCTAGGCTGTCAATGGTCCTATCACCTAGACTCTCTGCTTTTTGCTACATCTGTTTAGTGAAGTATTCCAAAGCAAATACAGCTATCACATCACTCTTAAATATTTTAGTATGCATCTTTAAAAAATAATTTTCTTATATAATCATACCATCATCATAGCTAACAAAATTATTTTTTTCATGTCTAATTCTCAGTCCATGTTCAAACTCCCCCAGTTGTTCTCAAAATGTCTTTCACAGTTCATTTGTTCAAAGATTTAATTAAAGACCAAGCGTTATACTTGGTTGTTATCCATCTAAAGTTTCTCAATCTTAACTTCAGACCACTGTCCTGTCCATTTTTCACCACATCCTTCCTGAACCCTTTGAGCTAGCCAACCCCAGCCTGCCCTGGGCTTTTAAAAATATTCCTTTTTTATACTTGGCTCTTTCCTGGTCCCTGGAACTGAGAGCTTGTTTCTTTATTCTCTAAGGTCATCTCAGAGAGTACCACCCACCTTTGTGATAAGAAATCTGAAATCTCTTCTTTCTCTTTCTCCTCTGGGGCAGAGATACCACCTGCCCCTCCCTCTGAGCTTGTCCACCTACCACCAGGGGTTTCTGTCTCTGCTTATTACAGTGTGGACTTGGCTCTGTCTGTTGATCGAGGTCAGTGCCACTGTCTTCCTTCCCTTGTCCGCCCTCTCCATCTCCTGTGCATAGCACATGCCTGGCATCTAGTGGCAGCACAATAAACAGATGAATACTTTTTCCAGCATCTTCTCTCCTCTTGCGCTGCCTGCCTACTGTGGTAACTGGGGAGCAAGGTTCAGAATGGGCTTGGTGTGCCTTGCTGGAAGGTTGTGATTCTGTTAACTGGTTCTCAGCCCAGCCCAGATCTCTTTCCTTTGGCTGTTAACAGTTTCTTTCCTTCTTTGTGTACACATACTAAGACTCAGGAAGTGGTTCTTAAGTCAGGACCATAAGAACCTCGGGCGTGGGGCCCAGGCTTGGGGGAGCCTGGAGTAATGGCTGGTTCTGTCCTTGGCGGTTCACACAGCTCCTTCTGGGGTCCACTATGGCACACAATGTAGGGAGGCAGCTTGAGGCCGCCACCTCCCCTTCCAGCCCTCATCTGGCTTTGCCCCCTGGGATGTGAAGTGCTGCCTGCTGGTATGGGATGGGAGATCCATAAGATAGATGCCATGCCTGCTTTAGTGTCCTCCCCCAGGCCTCCACCTGATAAGAAGCTCATCAGGGAGTGGGGGTGGTGGGAGCACAGACCTTGTCAACCCACCCCCAGAGGGAGGAACCAGACGCTGGCGCGTCATGATTGACTGGCTTCTTCCCGTGCTCAGCCCACTACTCCAGAGCCCCAGAATATGGAGAAAGGGACTAACAGAAGGGGGACCGGAATACCCACTCTAGAATGTTGGGGGACTCCCAGGATGTGAGGCCAGGGACTTTCTGGAAGTGTTTATTCTGACCCCACCCGATCCAAGGGATCTAACAGCGCCCTCTGCCGACTCGGGGATGGGGATGGGGGCTCCGGGTGCAGGATGAAGCGGCCTCTTGAAGACCATTCCATCACCTTGCCTCAGCTCGGTCGCTCGGTCCGGGCGCTCAGAGTGTAACTCCGGGCCGCTCACGCCTGCTTGGCTCGCACACGCTTCCTCCGCTTCCCTGAACCAGAGAGAATCTGGCGCCGCTCGGTCCCGCTCTCCCAGTCCGAGGTGGTATGGGGACGGGGACGCCAGAAGGGCCCCAGGCACCCCGAGGTCCTGCCCTCGGTGGCCTCCCCTCTCGGGGGTGGGCGCCGACTTCTGGGTAGGGGCCACGTGGCCTTGGCCGGGCGGGGGGCTCGGCCCTCCCCTCGCCGGCCGGGTGACTCAGGCCGCAGCTGTTACCGCGTCACATGAGGGAGGCAGGCGGCCACTGGGCGGGGGAGGTGGCGGGGGAGGGGGCTGTGGCTGGAGGCCGGGGCGGGGCCGCGCGGCGGGCGGGGCCGCAGCCGGGGGCGCCGCTAGAGAGCCCCTGAGCCGCGGCGGGAGAGGAGCGCACAGCCTCGGGGAGCCCAGGTGAGGCCTCGGGGCCCACGGCCGGCCTCGGCTCCGGGTGGGTGGTCGCT